CTTTCTTTCTTTCTTTCTTTCTTTCTTTCTTTCTTTCTTTCTTTCTTTCTTTCTTTCTCCTTCTTTTCTTCAAAGTCAGGATTCCTTTGTGTAGTCCTGTCTGTCCTTAAACCACTGCCTGGCTGTCTTTTTCTTTCTTTATACTATTTACATTTACTTTTCTATTTATTTTCTGAGACAGAGGTTCATTCTGTACTCCAAACTAGCCTTGAATTCTCAGTAGTCCTCAGACCTCAGCTCCCCAGGAACTGGGATTCCAGGGATGAGCCACCACACTTGTTTGTTCTTACATGCATATTACAAATTATGCATTAATGTGATAATTATGTACTCAATATACTAATAAATAAATGTATCACTTTATAGTGACATTATCTTTGTTTATATGTATTTGATTGTTTACAGGGATTTTTAATCTTTTCTTTCTTGGGCAGGGATTTATTAGAGTGGCTCACAGGCTATGGTCCAGGTAGTCCAACAGTGGCTAGGCCAAGATTCTAGGCCAGTGGTCTCCAGTCTACATCCCAAAGAATCCCAAAGAAGTAGGCTCAAATATCAGTGAAGGAATGCCTTCCAAGCAGGATGGGTGAACTTGCCAGCTGGGTTGAGGGCAAGCAGGCAAAAAGCAGAGCCTTCTCTTCCACATTCTATGTAGGCTGCCATCAGAAGGGATGAGCCAGATTTAGGGTGGGGGTCTTCTCACTTCAAATGATCCAGTCAGGAAAATACCTCAACAGATTAGCTATCACATGTGGGTGTCTGCGTGTGTGTGGAAGCAGAAGAGCATTAGATCCTTAGAGCTGAAGGTACAGGCAGTTGTGACCAGCCCTATTCAGGTCCTCCAGGAGAGCAGTATGTGCTCTTAACTACCTCACTATCTTTTTGGCCCTGACCAACTGAGTATGTTGAATTATGGTATTAATAGGGGCCTTTCCTAATACCCATCCTAGCTCCCAAGTAACTGACAGAGACCTATAACATTTATTAATAAGCTTTAAAGCACTAGGCTGGGCAGATGCTATTTATTCTAACCGGTCTACACTGATCTGGACTATTTCCCAGCCATGTGTCCTGTTACCTGTCCTCTTGTCTTGCCTTGGCCTTCTACTATATCTCTCTTTCCTCACGGCAAACTCCTCGTGATGACCTCCTCCTTGATCATCACCACTTCTTCCTCCTCTCCCTTTCTTTCTCTCCTCCTCTTCCTCTGAGACCCCCTGACTGGCACATAAGTCCTGCTTCCTGACCTCTCTCCCCAGCTATTGGCTAATCAGCTTCTTTATTAACCAATCAGAGATAATTGGGGAGCATCCTTTATACAACCTTGATACAGTCAATTCTCCATAGAAATGACAATGCCCACGTCTGGTCTGCAACCCGATCTAAGGGCACAGAAATCAGCATCTGAATACACAGTGCACAAGAGTGTCCCCAACACTAGGAACTGCTGTCTGCTTCAGAAACTGTACATGGTCTGCTACAGAGAGCAGCGCTTGTCAAGCTCAAAAGTACACACTACGCCCCGGGATTTAGGTCCGGCTTTCTTCCCTGCACTCCTTTCCCACAGGCTTTGGCATCTGCCTTACTGCCTTCCTTTGCCTCCATTGAGTGCCTTAGGCCTCAATGGAGGCCTAAGGTTATGGAGGACACTTTCCATTCCAGGGGCTGGAACAGGTATTTGACTCATATGCCAATGTCTGAATGACAGAAGTGACATTGCTCATCCAACATTGCTTACTCTAGTGATGGGAGAAACTGAGGCTTAGTGACTTTAATAATTTCCCTAGAGGTCATAGCCAGTTCTGTCATCAAACCACTGCCAGAACTGGACTTGTCGTGTAACAACAAAACATGCCTGCAGGCCCATTCTACCCAAGCCCTCCCTTCCTAGCTGTGAACTCCAGGTCTGTTGACTGAGTCATGGATTCCTTTGTACCAATTTGCCAAAGAATTGCTTACTTACTGTATGCTGACCCTTTTTGAAGGAAGGGATGGCCATTCTGAAGTTTGAATTTTTTTTTTTTTTAATCTGTCAAGAAAATTTGACACACTATGCTTTATCCATGAATTAGAATTTTCTGGTCTGTGTTGTTTTGACATTTGGAACTTAATAGCGGAATCATTGGGCCATGGCTGGAACCATGTCCTAATAGCAACTGATTTGGATTGCAGACCAGGAATGTCCCAACCCTGACCCATAAGGAAGGGGCAAGGATTAGACTAAAAGTCAAAAGTTCAGCTATCAGGAACTGTAGGCCACACAAACTTTTCATTGATTTCCACCTATTCTCATAGGTGCTCATGTGAGCAAGTATGTTGTTGGGGTTCCTAATGTAACTCCTTCTTTTTCCTGCAGCCTTTCTACCAGATTTGGCACTGTAGCTGTCCCTAACATTTTGCTGTTTCAAGGAGCTAAACCAATGGCAAGGTTTAATCATACAGATCGGACTCTGGAAACACTGAAAATTTTCATTTTTAATCAGACAGGTAATAGAGATGACATCCTGGGGAGGAAGGCTTGTTTGTTGTTTGTTTGAGACAGGGTTTCTCTGTGTAGACTGGGCTGGCCTCAAACCCACAGAGAACTTTGTTAGTAGTAGCATACAGTATTTCTTCTTTAGTCTGTGTTGTTGCAAGTAGCTGTTGTGTTTCTGAGATTTAACTGAATTGTTGGTTGTGGTTATATTTTGTTTGTTTTCATTGTGTTATGTTTCATTTATTAATCCACTTACAGAAGTTTTTTTTGTTTTTTTTTTCTTTTTTGAGACAGGGTTTCTCTGTGTAGTCCTGGCTGTCCTAGAACTTACTTGGTAGACCAGGCTGGCCTCAAACTCAGAGCTCTGTCTGCCTCTGCCTCCCGAGTTCTGGGACTGAGGGCCTGTACCCACCACTAGAAGTTACTTTTTTTTTGTTAGTTTTTGCCAAAGGTGATGGCCCTATTGTTTATTTCTCTCAAAAGCTTGATTGTGGCAAGTTGCAAAAATGCCTTCCTCTGGAAACCATCTTTTTTAAGGCCCTAGAGCCTTGGCTGAGAGCATCCCACTTCTCTTTGAGGCCCACTCACTAGGAATGAGTGCCGATTAGAACATGCCTCAGTGCACAATCTACTCAGTTTTCTTTTGACACTAAGGAACAAAACTCCTTTTTATCTCAGATTGGTGATAGTATTACAGGGTTCCTGGGAATTCTGAGCCTTGTCCCTGACTGGTATGGGGAGAGAAAGTCATTGTGTTTCGTGCTTGTAGATAAATTCTAGGTGCTTGACATCTTTGGTGATCACCGACCCAGCCGTGGGTGATTGTTCTTACAGTTCTTTCAGTAACTTACTTGAAGGCACCTTGATAACCTGCGGAAACTTTTGAGAGCAGCCTTATTTTGATGAACTTTGGTCTTCCGAGAACAAAAGGCAACTCTAATAGGACATTGACTAGAAAATCTCCAAGGAGTTGCAGAGATCCTTGAGATTTAGCTTTGAAAGGCCGGAGGGAATCCTGATTCTTTGATATGGTGGGCAGGAAGGCAAGTTACAAATTGCACTGACATGCGGGTGAAATCCTTCCAAGATACGCTTGAGGTGGTGTTTATTTTTGGGTTGCTTGTCACTGTGCATGCCACGCACCATACTTCAGACATGGCTCAGATGTGTTTTCTCTCTGATTTGAAACAATTGATTTCTCTTTCAGGTATAGAAGCCAAGAAAAATGTGGTGGTAACGCAAGCTGACCAAATGGGCCCTCTCCCCAGCACTCTGATAAAGACTGTGGATTGGTTGCTTGTATTCTCCTTATTCTTTTTAATTAGTTTTGTCATGTACGCTACCATCAGGACTGAGAGCATTCGGTGGCTGATTCCAGGACAAGAGCAGGAGCATGCAGAGTAGAGGTGGAACTGAAGTGCAAGAGGAAGAATCTCTCTCAGCCCTTCCTCAGACAGTCACAGACTTTCTCCACTGAAACGCTAACTTGCAGCAAAAGTCAGATTTAATAATCATGTTCCTGTTAAACTACTGAAAGGCTGAAAAGATTACATTTGAATGGGTTTTTACTGTGACAATTAGCAGATGCAAAAGTGCTCACTAGAATTGACTGTGTTGCTTTTGACACTTGAACATAATGAATTTTTCTTCTAGTGTCGTTAAGCAGGGAAGTGTTGTGTGGGTGAGTGTGGGTCTGTAAGTAGCACCCGATGGACAATAAAAAGTTCCTTGCCCCTTGTCTTGTGATGTCTGCTTTCACTGAAAGGCTTCACCTGTTTTTAGGAATGATGGATGTTAGGAAAAGTAAATGTTGTTCTAATTGAGAGCATATACTTTCACCAGTTATATAACCAGCACGCATTCTTTGAACGTTAAAACTCTGAACCCTGAGCTAGGTTGAGCTCCAAAGGAAATACTAAACACTGTTCTTGCCTGGAGGTTGAGTCTGGTCTAGTTTAGGACACATTTAGAAAAGAGACAACATGGGCCACTAAGATGGTTTAGCAGATAAAAGTCCTTGTCAGCGAGTGTGAAGGCCTGAGTTTGATCCTGGTGCTCCACACGGTAGGAGAGAGCTGAGCCGTAAACGCTCCCTTCTGATCTCGAAATGTGTGCCATAGCATACCCCCAAAAACTTATAAATAAATATAAAATTTATAGAGACAACATACTCTCTACAAACCTCTAAAGCTGTTCTTGAAATTCAGATATGAGCATCAAGTGCCTAATGATAAATTAGGCATTGTGTTTTTGACACAGGCTCTTACTGTGTAGCCCTGGCTGGCCTGAGACTCAACTGTGTGGACAGCACTGCCTCCAGCTCAGAGATCGTCCTGCCTCTGCCACTGCAGCTGTCTTGACAAACTGTCAGGTTAACTGCTTCAGCACTCCCAGAGCCCCTGTTGGATGATGACCTCTCGGCCCTGACGCCCTTCTCCCGTTGCTCATGACTAGGTTTGAGATGAGAGTGCTGGGAAGGCGGGAGAATGACAGGCCACTACTGTGTTAAGACACTAATTCGTTCTCTCTCCCTCCTCCTCTTCCAGGGTAGCCCAGGCTGCCCTCAAACCTCAGATCCCCTGCCTGGCCTCCTGAAGGCTGAGCTTCCAGGTGAGAACCACAAGCCCAGGAGGGCTCCTCATATTAACATACACATTTCAGGAATATTTTTCATGATCATAAACACTAAGGGTAAATAGTAGAAGCAAGGCTCCAGCCTGCTCCCGGTACCTCATCCTTAGGCGTGAGCCTAAAACATCACCCACGTTACTTTAAGTCAGTGCCGCCCGACCCGCGCCCTCAGACCACCCCAGGTTCTGCTTTCCCTGACTGTTACATCTCGTCAGCTGGGCAAAAGAAGTTTAAATTTTAGGCTCTCGGAGGCTTTATTATTATATTTTTCCAAGTCCATTTGGGATACAAGACTGCTAACAGTTATGAAACCAATCTTTAAAAAAAAAAAAAGATTTATTTATTTCTTATTTAAACAGTATACAGTATTCTGCCTGCATGTGTGTCTGCACACCAGAAAAGAGCAGCAGATCTCATTATAGATGGTTGTGAGCTACCCTGTGGTTGCTGGGAATCGAACTCAGGACCTTTGGAAGAACAGCCAGTGGTCTTGACGTCAGAGCCATCTCACCAGACCCTATGAAACCAACCTTAAATGAACTCTTTAATATATATGTTTGCCAAATTCTCAATAAAATATAAAAATAAGGAAATATTTTTGAGACAGGGTCTTACTGTGTAGCCCAGGATGACCTCTAACTCCCAGCGATTCACCTGCTTCTCTGCCTCTAGAATTCTGGGATTAAAGGCATAAGCCAGAGTGCCTTGCAAACTGATAATATTAACGTGCTAATTTAGAAAAAAGTAATGGCGCTGTGCAAGGTGGCACATACCCAGAATCCCCAGCTCCTGGGAGGTGGGGGTAGATGTTCAAGGCCTCTGCAACTTTGTACCCGGGCAGCATGAAACTGTTCCAAGAAAGGAATACAATAAAGTTACTTAGTAAAAAACCAAAAAGATCCCAGCACTCAGGGAGGCAGAGGCAGGCCCGGAATCTTGTGGTTTCGAGGTCAGCCTGGTCTACAGCGTGAGTCCGGGACAGCTAAGGCTACACAACAGAAACCCTGTCTTTGAAAAAGTAAAACCAACCAAACAAAAAATCCAAAAAGATATAAACTGAGCAACACTTCACTCAAAACTTAGTACTGTGTTAAAACCCTTGCCTCATACCCCGGGTTTTAAAATGGTCAGTTGCATCGCAAGGGGAAAAAAAAAAAAACCGGCAAAATAATGAAGACCCATATACACACTTATGGCACAGGAAAGAAGACGTCTCTGCTGCACCTGTGCACGGGGCACAGTCAAGGCGCAGGGAGGGGACCAAGCTCGGAAGCCAAAGCTGCCCGAGCAAGGGCTTCACAGCACCGACCCCGGCGGGCAGGACCCCGCGCACCCCGCCAGAGTCCCGACCCCGCAGGGCTCCCCACCAGCCCCGCGGACGCAGCCGCCCAACCTCGCCAGCCGCTGCGGGGGCCTTCGGCGCAGGCGCCGCGTCAGGCAGCGCGCCGGGCAGCCCGGGGCCATGGCGGCGGCGGCGGCGGCGGTGGGAGCGCGCGGCGCCGTGCGCTGCTTGGCGGCGCTGCGCGGCCGGGGCGCGAGCGGGGCGGCCATGGTGAGTGCGGCCGGGCGGGAGAGCGGGGCCTTGGGCTGGGTGCGTGCACCCCCGCGGCTCCCGTGGAGCGCGGTGCGCACGCCTGAGCCTTCGCCGGGGAGCTGAAGGCTGACGGCGTCTGTGAGTTCGAGGCCAACCAGGGCTAGGTCGTGGACCCACGACAACTTCCGCCGTTGTCTATGAGCTGGCTCACCGGAAACGGGCTCGAGTTTAGAAAAAAAAAAAAAAAAAAAAAAAAATCTAAATATGAAGATGAGCTGTGAGACTGGTGGGTCGTGGCCATTCTGAGTGCTGCGGTCCCCAGGGCCCCCTGTGTGGCCAGCTGTGTTGTCTTGCTCGTGAACTGTAGGAAGAATTCGTAAATTACTTTTTTTCTTTCCGTTTCTGAACAACAACACATCGATTTTTCTCGCCACCTCTAAAGAGGACATTTGGTTTTCTTACTTCAGACATTAATATTTCGGCCGTGCGTTGCAGCCTGTAATTCCTGCATGCAGCAAGGCTGAGGCTGGAGGATTACCGTGAAGCCGGCTGGGGACCCTGTGGGTGGGCAGTGAGACCCTCTGAGCGGTGTGGAGGGCCAGTGAGTTGAGGGAAAGTTTTAACTAGCGGCTCCATCTAGTGGAAGATGTAGCGAGAAACGCACCATTTCATTCACGGGAGCTCATTAGAGCCCATTTGAAAAAAAAGAAAAAAATATGAGTAAGTCATAGACATGATTTATTTTCCTGTAAAATTTCTGTAATGAATTTCCTAAAACGTAATTTTTTTAAAAAAAATCACACAGTGGAATTGTTGAAATCAGAAAATTATGCCGGTAATGCCCATTTTTGACCAATGACTTTAGAGAATTTTTTTTTTCCTGGTATAATTCTGGGGCAGTCATTTGCATTTGGTTAACATTTTTAAAGTTAATTTAATGAAAATAAATTTCCTACAGGAGTATGTGTGTGTTCAGGCACACCAAACATTCTCCTGTGCTCCCTTTCCCACTCCTTTCCTTCCTTCCAATAAAAGAAGGGATGAGATTCATTGTGTTTTTAATGAGATAGGTTTCTTGTAGCTGAGGCTGACCTTGAATTTGGGTGCATCCTGCTTCTCCTTCCCAAATTCTGAGGACATAGGCACATGCCACCACCCTTGATGTGAAAACTTGGTGTTTTGATACTGTAGAGACCCAAGGGCCATGAGACCTGGAGAGGCCAGTTGAGCATGAAAAGCTACTGCCTGCCTTAGGAGACAGGGCCCTTGGCTCATGCCTCAGGCTCTAGCCTCCTCATATTGGGGAAGGTACAAGGGACTGATTTATCACCAACAGCGGGTTGAAAACGCATGAACGATGGCCAGCCGGGGTCAGTGGGACTGAAATGGCTGAAACTACAAGAGTAGGGGTCAGTCGGTCGGGTGCCCATCAGGACAGCCTCCAGCTGGGGGTGCTTTTCCTGAAGCTCACCCAGGGTCTGCTTCATGTCACCCTCAGCCTCTGTCACGTGCAGGTGATACCTTGGGGAAGAAAGGACAGAGATGAGGAGTGGAGCTGATTCTACCCAGGCCCTCTTAGAGCCCAGACCTTCATGGGCTTGATGGTGTCCTGTAGAAACTGCTCCAGCTCAGGGAAGGGCGAGACGCTACAAATGTACAGGATCTGGAGAGGTTCTGGAACATCAGGAAATTTCCTGGGGAAAGTAAGGATCTAAAGGCTTGGCAGGATGGACAAAAAAAAAGTGTCCTCCAGAGAGCTCAGTATTCTCTTTGGGCCCCAGGATCAACACCCGAACTTTCTCCTTTTCCTTATCCTTTCCATCTAGCAAACCCAGAGCCATTTCCTCTGAGAAGCTCACTCTGAGACAGGGTCTTGCTGTATAGCTCAGGCTGTCCTGTAGTTCCTTATGTAGCAGCTGGCCTCAAGCTCACAGCCCTGCCTCAGCATCCTAAGGGCTGGGATTACGGGTGTGTGTGCCAGTTTGCTTGGTTCATTCTGATCGAAGACCTTACCATCATTTCTGTTGTTATAAAATAAAAAATAGCAACACCTCCTACCTCAGGAAAAAAAAAAAAAATTGGCTTTCATTGGTTGGCCTGGAACCCACTATGTAGCTGACCGTTTATATTCCCTAGATCTTGTGGTTTTCCATACCTCCCTCCAAGCCTGTGAAAAGGACCCCCGGGCTGCTACAAAGGACTGGGGGGTGGGGCTGGAAAGATGGCTCAGCAGTTAAGAGCACTTGTGTCTCTTGCACGGACCTGGGTTCCCTTCCTGGCTTCTCTTCTAGCACCCGGCATGGTGGCTCACAACCATCTGTAGCTTCAGAAACAGGGGGTCTGATGCCCCCTTCTGCCCTCCATCAGCAACACAGTACACCCACACAGTGCATGTATATGCACAGGCAAAAGCGCTTACCAAAAATAAAAGTGAATGAATCTTCAGGAAATAAAACAGTAAAAAACCCCAAACAGAGGGTTGTGCTGAGGGCATGTCTTTGCAGGGCCATTGATGTTATGTAGATCAAGTGGCCCCATTTCACAGTCTTTCCCACAATCTCTGCAGGCTTTCATCTCCGTAGGGCTGTGGGTAGCCCAGCCCCAGAGGGAAGCAGCACCTTCTATGGCCTCTGGCTGACCATGGCATAGTCCATCCTTACTGTGTTTCATGGTTTTCTCTGCTATCAAGTCCCTGTGAAAAACAGACACGCTCCGAGTGGACTTAATATATTTAGGTGTTTGATGGACAGTTTAGATTGTTTTCTATAGTAGACCTCTGTGTGAAAAATACCAGAACTCAGTGGGTTTGCTGCTATGTATCTGTGACTCCAGCACTGAGGAGGTGGAGGCAGGATGGTTGTCATGAGTTCACAGCTAGCCTGGGCTAGTGAGAACATATATCACCCCTCACCCCAACTCCTGAAAAAAAAAAAGATTTCAGAACTAATTATTTTTTTATTTTATTTTTAATTTTTGTTGTTTTTTGTGGGTGTTGTTTTGCTTTGTTTGTTTTGTTCTTTTGAGACAAGGTTTCTCTGTGTAGCTCTGGCTGTCCTGGAACTCACTCTGTAGCCCAGGCTGGCCTCAAACTCAGAGATCCACCTGCCTCTTTCTCCTGAGTGCTGGATTTAAAGGCGTTTACCAACATGCCTGGCTGTTCTTAACATTAAATTCTTATTTTGGATCGCAAGCCTTTAAATGTTTTTGCTTACGGTGGGAGAGCATAGCTGCTCTAGTAGGGAGAATAAACAAGAAAACGGGATCACTGGCATCGTCAAAAGGTAGAATGCCTTTGCCTTCCCAACTGTATTCAAGTCTGTGATAAAACGTTGGAGGGGTCTAGAGGTAGGTGTGAGTTGGAGCTCCATGTACAGAATCTGGAGTGTGTAGCTCAGGGCCTGCAACGTTAGCTCAGTCTTTGGGGTGAGTCTCTCTGAGGTCCCTTCACCTCACCTCCAGGAGGTGAGACGTGAGGTAGCCACGGGTGCTTAAGCTGGAATGGTAAGCTGTGCTCATGGTTTACAATAGTCTGTGGTGTTTAATGTTTCTGGGTTAGCAAAGGAAGGCGCAGGTTGAATGGCCGAAGGGCTGAGTCGTGACTGCCGCCTGGAGAGGAGAATGAGGTGGGCAGTGTGGGCAGGTACTGAGGGCACCCTGAGTGGTCCAGCGACACTTGAAGGGACTTTGTTTTACTGGCACTCTTATTAGCAAGGCAAGGACCTTTTACCTGCCAGAGAGGGGCGGTGGAGCCCGAGGTTGTTAGACAAAGTTCCATGGATATGTCCATGGATACGTACACTTGGTTCCCCTTGTATAAGGGCTTTTGTTATAGATGACAGGAAGAGACAACTGTCTTACAAACCAGACATCTGTGAAGACACAGCATGACTATGGCAAGTCTTATAAAGGACAACGTTTACTTGGAGCTGGCTTACAGTTTCAGAGGTTTAATCCAGTATCATGGTGGGAGGCATGGTGGCATGCAGGCAGACATGGTGCTGGAGGAGTATCTGGGAGTTCTGTTTTTCTTTATTAATTTATTTATTTTACGTATGCGTACTCTGTCTGCATGTACACCTGCACGCCAGAAGAGGGCACCAGATCACATTACAAATGATTGTGAGCCACCATGTGGTTGCTGGAAATCGGACTTGGGACTCTGGAAGAGCAGACATTGCTCCTGACCACCCAGCTGTCTCTCCAGCCCCAGGAATTCTGTATTTTGAGCCATAGGCAGCAGCTGGAGACTGAGCCAACTGAGTGTAGCTTGAACATGTGAGACCTCAAAGCCCTTCTCCAGAGTGACACGCTTTTCCAGCAAGGCCACACCTCCTAATAGTGCCACTCCCTGTGGGACAATCTTTCAAGCACATGAGTGTATGGGGCCGTTTGTTCAGACCACCACACCATCCTGAGGAGCTCACCATTCAAGTGGGCTGCAGAGACGGAAAGTGCTTCGATGTCCATCCAGAGAGCAGCAGGCCGGGGGTGGGGATCCCACCAGCAGCACCTGAGAGAGTTGTTCTGCCTCCTTGCACATCCTGGGATTCTGTGGCATCTGTGGCAGTGGCAACAGCAGTCTTGAACCAGAGTTGCTGAATTGTGGAGACTGAGGCAGCACTCAGGGAGACAGGACACCAGCCATCTTCTGTTTGCCTGTCTGTTGAGAATAAAGGAAGGAGAGATGGCTAGAATTTGTTTCCCCTGAGACTTTTCTTTTTTTTCCTGTATCTCTTCCTGAAGAGGTATAAGTTTATGAAAAGAGTTGAAATAAATGCTGACCCTTTCAGACAGAAAATGTTTTCCTCCCAGTCTTCAGATGCACAGTGGCTGACCGCAGAAGAGAGGAACCAACTTATTCCTGGCTTGAAAGCAGCAGGGTGGTCGGAGTTAAGCGAGAGAGATGCCATCTACAAAGAGTTCTCCTTCAAAAATTTTAATCAGGTAATTCGCGTGAGTCGCTGGTGTCACCAGGTGCGGTTTTGCTCTCATGTCCTGTTGTTTCTGTGACTACTGCTTGTCGGGTCCCAGTGGGCTTGGATCCACACTGTCTGGTCCTTGTGAGTTCAGTGACAGAGACTGCCCCTGCCGACTTGGGCGTATGTAACCCTTGGGGAGGGTTGATTTTGCTGACTTAGAAAGTCAGCACTCTGCGCTGGTGTATATTTGTAATCCTGGCACTTGGGACACTGAGGCAGGAATGTGAATTCAGGGTCTGAATAGTGACTATATAATGAGTTCCTGCCTGATGCAAATTGTAAGACCTTGTCCATCACATCCACATTCACACACATACAGAATGAATGAATGAATGAGTATTATATTCTGAAGCTGCTTTAGCTTTGATTTGGGGTTGAGTAAGATATTTAATCTTTTCTGAATTTTAAATAACATTAGATAAAGATTTGCATATTTTTCTGTATATTAGAAGGTGCACGAATAAGGCAGTTGAGAAATATGACCTGCTTGCTTTCTCTACTTTTTCAGTGCGATTAAAAAAAAGTCTTGTAGTTGTGTTTTTGCCTATAAATCCTCTCCTAGGCTGCACCGCTCCCCCTCCCCGCCCTCCTAGCCTGCTACCCAGCCCCTGCCCATTTCCTAAACTCTGATCTCCCCCTTGGCGGCTCAGCCTTCCCAGGTAACTGTTCCATGAGGGCCCCACCCTCTGCAGAGAGTCATCTCCCATGACTTAACATTCATGACTGCTCCGCTTCATCTGTATGAGGTAAATGCTTCTGCCCAGCTCGTGTTTGCTCAGCTCCTTCGGTAATCCCTTGGGCAGATTTATTGTTTTTATTTATGCTAGGTGTTGGTATCTAGAAGTCAGAGACTGTGTTTGCTCAACTCTCCATTGTACATGGTTCTGAGTACAAACAGGCGTTGATTGCAGTGTAGACATTGATTACAGTGTTTGCTGGTTTCTGCAAGGGTGTGCAAGCACCAGATTCCCACTGAAGAAATACCCTTGGCACGTTTTCCTGGTAAATGCCATTGGCTCTGTTGAGTTGCCTGCCCTGTTCTGTTTTCCTGTCGTCTGGCTGCCAGCCGGTTGCTGTAAGTCCCCAGCTCCTGAGAGACCCCGGACTGACTCCCTGTTCCTGCTGCCTCTTGTGCTCCACAGCTCTTGTCAGGGGCTTAGCACTCCGTGGCAGGCGATCTCACCGGTACAGTAAGCGGTACATAGCTCCAGGTAGCCTTTTCCAAGCTTATTAAAATTCTTACATGTGTACAGCTTGACTTCTTTAAGCCTGGGCTAATTTATTGGGCTTGAACATGTGGCTTAAAGTACTACAGTGGTGTTGCCTCAGGCCCTGCCCTGAGTCGGTCCCCCGGCACTGCTGCCACCCGGGTGGGAGGGAAGCGGTGCAGGGCATCTTGGAGGGACTGTGCCATTACTCACTGCAATGTCTCACCGCCTAGGCCTTCCCCTTCAGCTTTTAGGAGGGGGACCAGCATCCATATTACATCCTGAGCTTGCTTTCCAGCAGGCTCTGTGACTTCTACCTGGACAGTGGTCTGTGCCGGCACTGGTGTGGCAGCTATCCCTGCCCACACACAACCAGAACACACCTGTAACTAATAGCAGAGAGAGCGAGGACACGCTGTGTGCAGCATCTCAGGAGATTAAAGACCTGGTGGTGGAATTCAGCCTCCACAGCAGACTTAGAACCCTCTGAGGAACCAGCTTTGCCCTTGGTTGGGTGTTGTTCAGAAAAGGGCAGGTCTGGATTCAGTGCTTTATGAATCTTGCCTTTAGGGAGACTAGAAGGAGATAGGGCTAGCTGGAGAAAGAGGCATTAGCTGGAGAGCAGGGATGTTCAGCGTGAGGCACTGAGCCCTCGTGCCTGCTGTGTGCCTGCTCTTCCTCATCCCTGACGGTCACAGGGTGGCTTTGTTGCTGTTACTGTTCCGTTCAAACAGCTGCTGTGGTGCGCACACCTGTAGTCCAGCACTTAGGACAGTAAGGCAGGAAGACCACCAGGGTGACGTCAGCTTGGGCTATGAGGAGGGTCTCTGACTCAAAGAATAGTCCAAAACATGGGCTGGTGAGGTGGCTCAGTAAGAACTCTTGCTTCTAAACCTGATGGCCCACATATTGGAAGAAGAGAACTGACTCCCTAAAGTTGTCTCCTGTCCTATGCGCTTGCACCGTACCATGCGCACACGTGTGTACATGCACATATGTACGCAGAGAGCATACACACACACACTCACATTCACACAATAAAAAATAAACATATATAAGAATACAGCAAGGCAAGAAAGAGAGCATGAAGGACTGGTGAGTCCCAGGCCTTCCCAGACACAGCAGCTGCCTCCCTCCTGCCCGAGAGTGGGTCAACAATGCTGCAGTGCTCACAGATTCTCACTCTCCTCGCTTACTCATCTTCCAGGCTGGCCTCCGCCTCCACCTGCGCCCCCGCCTCCGCCCCCGCCCCCGCCCCCGCCCCCGCCCCCGCCCCCGCCCCCGACTCCGACTCCGACTCCGACTCCTGAGTGCTGGGTTAAATTGTGGGCCACCACACCTGGCAATAGTGTAGCGTCGTAATAAAGATGGAAATGTAGATGCTCCGCCAGAACTACTCTCCTTATTGCTGTTCTGGGCTTTCTCTAGCAATCTAATTCATTCACAGTGTGGTGATTGCATTTACTGCTAAATGTCTTTAAATCCATTTGATTTTTCTTAAAAGACTTTTTTCTTTCTTTTTTTTTTTTTAAAGATTTATTTATTATTTATACATTATTTTGCCTGCATGTATACCTACATGCCAGAAGAGGGCACAGGATCTCATTATAGATGGCTGTGAGCCACCATGTGGTTGCTGGGAATTGAACTCAGGACCTTTGGTAGAACAGCCAGTACTCATAACCTCTGAGCCATCTCTCCAACCCCTTTTCTTTCTTTCTTTTTTTTTTAATTTTCTTTTATTTTTATTAATTACAGGTTATTCACTTTGTATCCCAGCTGTAGCCCCCTTCCCTATCCCTCCCAATCCCTCCCTCCCTATTCTTTTCCTATGCCCCTCTCCCAGTTCACTGATAGCAGAGTTCCTCCTCCCCTTCCATCTGACCCTAGCCTATCAGGTCTCATCAGGACTGGCTTCATTGTCTTCCTCTGTGGCCTGGTAAGGCTGCCACCCCCCACCCTACCCGCCCCCCCCCCCCCCCCGCAGGAGGAGGTGATCAAAGAGCCAGCCACTGAGTTTATGTCAAAGATAGTTCCTGTTCCTATCATTGGGGAACTCTTTTGGACACTGAGCTGCCATGGGCTACATCTGTGCAGGGATTCTAGGTTATCTCCGTGCCTGGTCCTTGGTTGGAGTATGAGTCTCAGAAAAGACCCCTGTGCCCAGAGTTTTTGGTTCTGTTGCTCTCCTTGTGGAGCTCCTGTCCTCTCCAGGTCTTTCTATCTCCCCCTTCTTTTGTAAGATTTCCTGTACTTTGCCTAAAGTTTGGTTATGAGTCTCAGCATATCTTTTGATATCCTGCTGGGTAGAGTCTTTCAGAGGTCCTCTGTGATAGGCTCCTGTCCTGTTCCCTGTTTTCTCCCTCTTCTGATGTCCGTCTCATTTGCCTTCCTGAGTGAGGATTGATCATCTTTCCAGGGTCTTCCATCTTGATTAGCTTCCTTGGGTGTACAAGTTTTAGTAGGATTATCCTATATTATTGGTCTAAAAAAGACTTTTTAAAAAAATATGTATTTATTTTTATTATTTATACAGTACTCTGCCTGCATGTACACCTGCATGCCAGAAGAGGATAGCAGATCTCATTATAGATGGTTGTGAACCACTATGTGGTTGCTGGGAATTGATCTCAGGACCTTTGGAAGAGCAGCCAGTGCTCTTAACCTCTGAGCCATCTCTCCAGCCCAAAAGACTTATTTTTAAATTATGTGTGTATGTTTATCTGTGTAGAGGTATGTGCATGTGAGTGTGGTTGCCAGAGGAGTCCTGAAAAGGTCATTAGGTCCCCTGGCACTGGAATGGTAGGTCGTTATGGATCACCTGATGTGGGTGCTGGGAACTGAATCCAGGTCCTCTGGAAGAGCAGCAAGTGCTCTTAACCACTGAACCAGCCCTACAGTTCTTGTTTTTTTTTTTTTTTTGTTTGTTTTGTTTTTTAAACCATGAAAATAATACTTGTTAATGTTCTGCATGCTTCAAACACCAGTCTCTGTGGTTGGCATTACCCCAGGTTCCTGCACCTCCCAGCAGAGAAGATGGATGCTAAGGTGAAGAACAGGCAATGTGGTTTGAGTAAGGGAGGGCTCCATGAAAAACCGGGCAGGATATTGAAAAAGGGGCAAAGGGCAAGGCATTCTTTTTCTTTTTTCCTGCTGGCTTTGAACCTGGGTCCCTTAACATGGTGGGGCCTGGGTTCTGCCACTGGACTACAGCAGCCCAGGAGGGGAAGGCAGTCTCAGATGGAATATGCCCTCTGGGGAGAGAATGTAGGACGTGAAGGGCTTAGCATGTCAGGATCTGTGGAAAGAACATCCCAGGTGGAAAGGACAAATTTCCTTATACAAAACGGTCTCACATGATGGGATAAGAACCAGAAGGATGATTCTAGAGTGGACAGAGAGGACACAGGGTTCTGGCACCTTGTTGGCATGGTGATGCTTTGGACTTTTTTATGAAGGACAGCTGCTAGAAGATTTAAGTAGAGAAACTTGGCTTTTGTTCTAAAATAAGTTGTGCCAGTTCTGCTGAGGATCGGTGGACAGAGGGTAAGCGCCAAGCAGGCGAACTCTCTGGATGCCGCTGGACCAGTCCACGCCAGCGCCTGCAGAGCAGAGGCAGCAGCAGAGAAACAGGTATGACCGCTTCTAGTAAGTTTGAAGATGGAACACTCAAGACTCGGAAGAGCAGGGGCTGAGCTCAGTGGTGCAGTACTTGCCTGGCGTGCACAGGACCCTGGGGTCCATCCCAGCACCACAC